GCTCCCCCACCCTGTCCTCTCTATATAAGCTCCTGTCCCCTCGCAATAAACAGAGTTCCGGCTTTGACCACTCTCCTGGCTCGGTGGTGTTCTTTCTCGGCCCCCGGGGAGGAAGGTCCTGGGGGGAAGGGCCGTGCCAGCGACACTCATCATCCCGCTCAGCCCCACAAGGGACCCCCGGCTGGACCGGGGTCTCTTCCCACTCGGTTTTGTCGGCCTCTGGCTCAGGGAGGCCCGACATTCCATGGATGTATCTTTATGTTCCCTGGCACTGCATACAATTTTGTATTTGCAGAATACTCGATGGAGAGTCTTCAACAGTGGCTGTCAAACTTCAGTGCACAGAGAATAAGCCAGTATGGCTGTTGTGTAGCTTTCAGTCTCCAAAAAGGTTGAGAATTGCTGGTTATGAAGGTGCTGGATAGTGGATAACTCCCAGAAATTATCTCAAGGATTAGTACCCAAGCAAACATAGCAGTGATATCATGCCCTTGAAGACTCTTGCTAAATGAAGATTCATAATGACCACCAGACTTGCCCCTTGGAATATACCTTTACTATTGCTGTTATAAAAATGACAAACAATGGATATTTGAAATATAATTTACACTCGAGTCCCTAGGGATGTATAAATGAAATTTTTACTGTCTAATATAAACCAGCCATGCAGATTACTATAGGCCTGCAGTTCCTAGACTAGATTCATATTAACCAGCAAAAATAACCACCTAAGCAAATGAAAAATACAGGTAAGTACTGAAAATGCTTCCCTCCCCACACCTCTTTCTTTCCTTCAGGCCGCTAGCTGGGAAGTGAGACGAGGCCGGGGAAAACCCTCTTGTTATTTCCAAGGCTGGAGAGAATGTTGGGGAAACTTGTAACACAGAAACCCACCTGTCCACAGAAGGAGGTCTCCACTTTTAGAGATCCTTTCCACAGTGTTCACCAGCCTATTTGAAAGTATCCATAGAAACTGAACTTATACTTGCAAGATCTCTGAAGAGAAATTCAGTCTAGGTTACCTTTGAGTTTCTCACTGGCTGCAAAGTTCCCATGATGCATCATCATGACTAAACTTACGACACCATTCATTAATTTTGTACAACCAAATGGTATAGGAAATACCTAGAGGTTGTACTTGTATGTCTGTGACCTGCACATTAAAATGCAGAATTCTGAACAGACTACCTATCTGGTAGTCTGGAATCTTCACATGAAAAGGCAATCAAATTAACTTATTACTCCACTGCTGAAATAATGCTAAGTTAGAGATGGAAATAATTCTCTTTGGTGCTTTTTCCTCTAGTAATTAGGAAAGGGCTTTCATAGCAGCCCCAGCATAGTCAAAATTAGGACATTGCTATCATCTGCAGTATTCTGAAAAGTTTTCATGTTACCATTAGATTTAAATCTTTATACTAACATTTTGGGCCCTGTTTACAGCGGCCAGTTAGAATCTTGCTTTTAAAACCTACAGGTATAGCAATATCATGTTCAAATGCAAAGCCCACCTTTATGAATCAACATGTTATATCCAACTGACCATTTTCCTGCTTTGAGAATAAAAGTATCCACTTGAGAAACTACCATCCTCCATTACAGGTCTACACCTAGAGTTGGAGAATGTGGGTTAAAATCTCAACCCTGCAACTTACAAATGGCATCAAGTCAGTTAACTTCCTTGAGCCTCCGTTTCCTCATCTGTTAATCTGAACGTGTCAGACTTTTTCTTTTCTTTTTAAACAGGGTTTGTTACATGAATGAAATAAGATATACCTAATATATGAGTAACCTAGACCATGATTTGCTCAGTGAAGGCTTGGAGAATCTAAATAATGATTTCTTCAGATAAATGATTAGCTAGTTCCTGCCTCTGCATCCAGAGGGGAGAGAGGATGATAAGGGAGGTTGAGAAACATGTATTCAGCACTTGGAGCCATGGTCATGCCACGTTCAAGGCAGCACAGTAGAGCAAAGGCCACAGAACTAGGAAGATTTTCTGACAACTCTACACTGGTATCTTGCCCATGTTACTGTGTCACCTTTGACACAGGGCCCTGCTGCTGGCTGCCTTACCGTCATAATGAGCTTCTCCACGCAGTCAGGTGCCACACTGTGGAGGTGGGTGAGGTGCAGCTGGAGGTGGATCTTGTTGTTGAGCATGTCCTGGCACAGAGGGCAGCGAAGCATGGGCTGGACTGAGTGCTGTGTCATGGCGTGCACCCGGAGCCGGTTAACATCGGCGTTGCTGTACTTGCAGTAGGGACACTGGTACATCTGCAGGGAACACACCCACCGTGCTGGCTGAATCTTCAGTGTCCACCAGCAACTGTCTGCCCCAGCCGGCCCACCTGAAAGATCATTCCCCACCCATATCTAAAACGACCCCCCCACCCCCACCCCACCAGCAGAGCCCCTTCCATTCTCACCTGCTCTGGTTTGATCTCCTCAGATGTCTTTGGTCGCTTCGAAGAGAGAGGAGACTCTGAGCTACCTGGGAAGGAGATGCGTTTGGAGGTTGCCGGAGAATCTGTCAGCTCCTTCTCTGCTTGGCTGGACGATGCTAGAAGAAAAAGTAGAAGATGCAATACAGCAGCCAGACCAGGCCAGCTCCCAAAGGGTTTGTGTTGGGTGAAAATCAACATTCATTTATAGCACAGGATTTTCTTAAACCACCAAAATTCAAGAAGGATGAACATCCGGACTGACTTATCAAGCATGCTGGAAAAGCAGCAAGTGTTTCTTTTCCCTCCATGAATTTGTCACTACTTTAACAACTGCACATTAGGAAAAGAAGGTAAAGAAATGGAATAAAAGGCTCTGCAGTTGGACTGAGCTCCTGTCATTCTGCTCTCACCTCCCCTAATCTAGACACGATCTGCTGGCGTGTGGGGGCAGAAGGGCAGAAGGTGGGTGGCAAAGTCTCACCAAGTGCTTTGCCAACCTGAGTACTACACACACTGTGCTTCAAAGTCATAAGAAACTATGTGCTCCCAACTTCACTGTCCCATTTCTTGGAAAGAGAACACAGCACATCACGGGCAACATGAGAAATGTGACCTGAGAAAGGTTCACATGGATATCTGCATACCAACATGTGTGAAAACACCAAGTTTGGGTTCAGCAGTTTGCTTTCAGGGAAGAAATTAGTGAAGAGTGGAACTAGGCAGAGCATGAGCCCAAGTTATAATCTAGCCAATGCTCCAGACATGAGAGTTTATTCTGAGCGAGTGGTAAGAAGAAAGTTTCCTATCTGCTGGCCCAGACCATGCCTCTGCACCCTTCTTGCTTATGCCACCAAAACAACAGCAACAGAAACTAATCAACGAGGGGAGGCACGCGAGGCTTGAGCAGCAAATACGGGCATGGAAGTGCTGGTGGAAAGGTTCTCTGAAGCATGGAAAGAGACCTGGAAGACTTTGATGAGAAAACAGCTAGGCTGAGGGGTTAATCTGGAGAAGCAGGGCCCCTCCAGTGTAAACACAAATTCCAACACGGTTGGATTGGTCATTCCAATGAGAGGGCTGGCTGGCTCTTTCACTTATTCCGAATTTGGGACTCCATGTTTCAGAATTTTGCTTAAAGCAATAAGAAAAAAAAAAAAAATCCCCAAAATGGTAGTGAGAAAATATACCTACTGTCCTCATCAAAAGATAATGTGACTCGGCATTTTGGTCACTGGTTTAGAAAGCTTAATTTTTACTTCTTGGTAAAACTGTTTTCTGTCTTACCCATCTAGCATATATTTTCACTTTATGCTCAGCTTTGAACTTTGTTCTGATGTGGACATCAAGATGCTGTCATTACAGATGTGTACTTTAATAAATAATTTTAGAAAATCAATTTTATTCATTAAACTCATAAGGCCACAAAATAATTTTGAAAAAAAAACCCTGCTAAATGCAGAAAATATTCCAGGAAGTTGGTGCTCTTCCCAGAATGCACATCTTGCGACCTTTCACCCCAGTATCTTGGTAACCTGGTCTACATAAGTTTGTAGGACATCTATTATTTAAAAAGTACAAGGACAAGCATATTACACACAGACCCCTCCTTCTCCCCACACACACATTCATAACAGTACTTTAATCTGTCTCGAATCGACTTCAAACCCATTTTGCTCTTAATGGGAGTTATTCATTTTCACTTGAAAGGTAATACATGACGGCTGGATATTTAATGTGATGGACTGGCTGCCAATTAACTAGGTGCTGTAACATTCTAGACCAGTTCCCCCATGGCCCACTTCCCATCTCCTGGCCCCCTTCAGACCTGATCCCACAGACCCTTGAATCGCAAGCTTCAGACCTTGCAGTGGGATGGGCCTGGCCCAAACACTCCCACAATTGGAGTCTTTAATTAATGTTTCAGGGACTTAACTTCCCTGTGGTCCCAGAAGGTACCTTATTCTCCATCATTTTCATTTTTGTCTAGTGGTTTCCTACTGTACAGTAACTCTTCAATGCAAGCTGAAGATGGGGAGGAGGGGGTGGAGGCATCAAATAATACTTTAGATGCTTACTGGTTACAGCCATCCCTCATCTTTCCGATTTCCACCCCCAACTCGTAGACATTAAGTCAGGCTCAGTGTCACAGTTAGGAAAGAGCCGCTATCTGCTCCTTCTTGCAGTCGAGACAAACCAAGACAGAGACTCTATTCCAAACACCCATCTGTTTGTCTGACCTAAAACAGCACCTGTCTTGAAAATGACCTCGATCTGCCTGCCACCCCCCACCCTCGATTGTGCAGTTGCTCAGCAGTGAGAATGAATGGGCACTGAGGCTGTGCCCACCCAGCTCATCTCGCTCTCTCGGAGCTGAAAAGCGAGCACAGTAACCCCATGTGGCATTAGTTTCCTCGCAGGACCAAAGAGTCCGTCCTCTTCCTTCAATGCTGAACACATGACGAACTGTGGCGAGGTTGCAGAGGTGAGAGTTCTGGTTTCAGAAGCCACTATTCTTTCCCCCTGCATGGAGAGGGGAACTTTTATTACCTTTTTTTTCAAACTCAAACTGCTCTGGAATTCTAAAGCTTCTTTTGTGAGCTTGAGCTAAGGAGCCATTATAAAGTGTTTTAAAAAATAAACGCAGCACTTGCTAACTCTTCTTTCTTCTCAGTAACACAACAGCTCTGCTATCATGTGAAACGTTACATCCACTGGTGCACAAACTTTGGGGTCCATCTCCCTTCTACCCAGGACAACCTGCATCTTTATTAGATAAAATATGTCTAGAAGTGGACGTTAACCACCTGCAGCTCATTAGCTCTTTGTATGAAGATAATGCAACGCCATTCTCATAACAGATCCCATAAACACCCAGTTACAGTCTCATTGTGCTCCCCTGGGTAAAGTGGGGACTGCTCCTAAGAGTTAAGTTAACTATGGCTGACATGGGGCCTTCCCTAGCTTGACCTCAGACCTTAAAACATCAATCCCTGTCAAGACATCGTACCAGTCTTTATACAGTTTCTGTAGATGGGCAAAGAACTGTGCAAGTTCCCCATCGACATGCTAGATGAGTGTTTATTACAGGCCACACACAATCAGAGGTTCTTTCAAGCTTCTTCTTTCCGGACAACTTCAAAAGGGCCAGAGTCTCAAAATCAATTTCTACTTCAATTCTGTCACTAGCATACATTGGGGGCATAAGTAAATGAGGTTGTATGAATATGAAGAAAGAAATGACTGTGGTTTTCTGCTGTGAAGACTTTTCTTAATTTTAAACTCTAAGAGAGATGTCACAATATAGAAAACATTATTTAAAAAATCAATTACTGGTCACTCTAAGCCTGCTATGATGTCAGATTAGTGAAATGGAAATAAGATGTGCTCCAGAGACAAAACATAGTTTAAACGATCAGTGCCTGGAACCTCTGGTTTATACAGGCAGCAACTACAACAAAAAAATCAAACAACTCGGAGTGTTACTACCTGTACTGGTTTTTACAATAATGACAAAATGAATTACAAACAATCTAGACATCTTAAAACTGGGCACAGTATAAGTAAGTAATGGCACAGCCATTCTAATAAGTATTAGAAGACATTGAAAATGATAGATATGAAACAATATGGAAAAATCATTGGGAATGTAAATTTTTAAAAAATAAGATAAAACGTGTATATTCCCTGTTACAGCTTGTAAAAAAAACAGATTATTAAAAAAAGACTAGAAGAAAATGTATTTAGGTGATGGTATCATGGGCCATTTTCTAAATTTGTCATGTAGTTATATTATTATTAATATTCTAATTAAATGGTTTAGCATTTAAATTCAACTGACCATGAAAAAGTCGATACTTGGATCCATACTGTGCAAAAACATCGGGTGGTATTTTTCCTTTGCCGGTTAAAGCAGTTTTTTCTCATTTTGGCAGTTATGTCATATGAAAATATGTGTTAAATCTCAACGAATCTTCCATAGGCAACATGCTGGGCTCCTGGCATTTCTAAGGGGATAAAAATGTGGCAAGGAATCATGTGAGTGAAAGTGCTACAGACTACAGACTCTATAAAGCTGGGTAAATGGGATGTTGTGATAACAGAATGCAGGGTCAAAACCCTACTGAAACTTAGCAGGACGTGAGCTGTGGATTCCTCGCCATGCAAACTTTCTACGGAAGGAAAAAGCACTTGCCCAGCTTGACAGGAGGTATGACTGTCCTACTCAACTTGCTGAAGAGGCAAAGGAAAGACGGGCATGTCCCTATTACAGAATTCAGAAAATTTGAAGTTGGCTTTCTGGGTAGAGATCTACCATTTCCCCTTAAACTGTGATAGGCTGGCCCCTAAAACTGACAAGGACAAACACTGAGTGAGGCAGACCTGATTCATGATTCTCCATTTTCTTCTCTTAGCTTCCTCTACACTCTAGGCAAAAGAATTTCATTTCAGGGGGAAACATAGTTTCCAAAGCACAGCTTCCTTAGGGGGAAAAATGACTTATGCATGGAGCCATCAACTTCCAGATATCCTTTGACTTTATCATATTTGTTTGGGAAGTGTTTGCCCTCAAAGTAATTAGTTAAAAAGTTACCCCTCTTTGCATAGTAATTAGAGGGAGTACAGAAGAGGGTCAATCTGAGCTCACGCAAGTTTTGTTTGCACTTTTCAAGAAATGGTTTGTATTATGTTCTAAGCATACAGAATAACTAAAACAAGGTTAGCAAAAACTTAAAATTTTTAAAAACTTATAAATGTAGGAAGTGACTTTATAGGTAAGAAAAGTGTCACTCAGAGGGCTTATAAAGTGGTCAACTATGGTAAAAACGTAGCCTTTAAACATTCACAGTCTCCTGGAACTTCACCTGATAAATAAAACCACTGCTCCTAGAACAAATTCTCACTCAATCCCAATCTTCACTAACAAATTCCAAAACTGAGTCACTGAAATTCTGGCCACAGAAAACTTAAGAGTTGTACTTGCAATACCAGTGAACTTAATGACAACACATACCTCATTACTCATCTAATGACATGGGCTGTACAACTCTGAAGCCAGGTAAGGCACAGAGCTGCTGCCTCATGAAAAAGAAGTCTGAAGAAAAATTGGAAATGAAGT